CTCAGTATGTTTTATATGAATTTTATTTGTTTCATTTTTTCTTATTTCGTCCATGTTTTCAATTGTTAGACTAAATTAAGTAGTTATTTGTGGCAGCTTTTAGATTTTAATATTAATTTACTATAAAAGTATGATCACCCACCACACTAACAGTAGAAGTTGTCCTAAAGTTCAGTAAATTGATGATAGGGAGTGTGAGTACGCCTTTCATATGGTCGTTCCATTTAGCCACTTCAGTACCGTCCCTCAGGGACCCCCTGAGCTCGGGGCTCCAGACAAATGCCCTCCATGACGTGAAGGTTGACCACCGTCAGGAGAAAGAGCGTCCTGAACGGGACACATGTTTAACATCTGGACATTCCAGCTGATAAGATGGTAACCTAACCTCAGCGTAGAAAACAGTGGCTGTCGCTCTAATCTGCTCAGAGTCAGCCCTCGATGCATGGAGCTAATGTTTACTCACAATGCTAATGTCTGAGCTAGCATTATACACTCTGGCTCACTGCTGCCAACTAGTGGTCAGAGGCTGAACTACAACATAAAAATGAACGGCTGGCAGAAAATTTGACATTTTAAACCTTAATAAAAAAATCGATACGGGGCTTTAGAATATCGATACAGTATCGGGAAATGAAATATCGCGATATTTCAGTGTATCGATATTTTCTTACACCACTATTAAACAGTTTATTTTGCTGTTATTGACTCTTGTTTTCAGCTTCTGGTCCCTCAGGTGCTGCTGTAAGGTTAATTACTAAGATGTTTTGTTACAAAAAATAAACCAAATATAAATTTAYCCATTTATTGTGTAGGCTTAGTCTGAGAAATACAAAAGTTTGAAAACAACAGCTAAARTTGCTAAAGTCTGCAGAAAGGGTTGGATTGYAAAATAACGAACAAAAAAAARAAAGAAACCAAACTGGAAAACGATGACTCGGCTTTTACACAATAATGATGTGGGGTAAAGTTATTCKTTACAGCGGAGGTGACGGTGGATCAGAAAGACATCCTGACCAGACGGGAAACTTCAGAAAATAAAATCAAGAGTTTCTTGTCGACGTGAACAGTGTGGGTCTGAGACGTCACATGGATCCACTCCTAAGGTTTCTTATTGTTAGTTTTGTCGTATTTCTGCAGATATGTGCAGGAAATAAAAGTTATGAGTTTATATAAACCTCGTGAWAATTCCTACGGACGTGTAAGAAAATACCTCGGATGTTTACAGTTTTCACACAGAAGCAGTTGTGAGTCGTTCACCGTTGTTGTGAAGGATTCCTCGGACTCAGATCTTCACACCAAACGTGTTGTTGTTGTTGACCCAGGAGAGAGAAGCAGCTCTGGTGGGTGGAGGTGACAAATGGACTCTAGAGACGTGATTCAGAGGTTTTACAGTCAAACAATGATGTTCTTTAAGAAGTGCACCTCACTTTTTTCACTTCCCGCCTCCGACACACCAACTGTGTCCAGCTGCTCCGTTAACGTTAATTAAACTGTTTCTGTCGTGTTCGTTAACTCACGTCCACACACTCATAGTTTAAACTCAGATCAGTAACAAAAAATAAATCTGAAATTAAATGTTTTAARTGTCTTTTACCCAAATAAAGAGTTATTTTGTTTTTAAACTAACTTCAGAGCTTGTTTTGTGTTCTCACGTTACTTTGGGCTCACAGTCTGCTCTCGTTCCGGCAGTCAGGGGGTCCTGAACTCACAGTAAATATGGTTTTTCCTCCGTTTGGGATTTTTACAGCAGCTTCCGTTTGTTCCACTCACCAACAGCAGGACGCAGGAATAGAGAGGCCTGAAGAAGAGTCAGAGTGTGGGGATGACTTTCAGCTACTACCACCTCTCTTTTTAGCTCCATCTGTAAAACTGTCGKTTTGTGTTTTCCAAGCATTGATTAGCTGTAGCAGCCATCTTTAGTTGGGTTGACACCTAAATTTTTTTATATAAATTTATTTCATTTAATTAAAAACAAAACATTTAATCAAAAAAACAAAACGATTTTCAGCACAACACAAAATCATTAAATGAAAGGGAGCAGAAAGAAGAATAATAAATCTTATAAAGTCTGTCCCCATTTAACAAAAACATGTGTAAATACATACACCCATACATACATTTACATAAACAATTTCACACCCTAATGGTCTTTTATTTTAATTTAATTAGTCATAAAACTTGATGAGAATAAGATGTTAAGATGTTCACACATCATAACACTCCCACTGCCGTGCTTTACTGTTAGGATCATGAGTTTCCTGTTTGTTGTAAACTCACTGACTTCACACAGGAAACACAAATATYTGTAACTGTCAGTGTTACAGACGTCCTGTTAATGTCAGACGATGTAACGTCTGAGAGTCTCATTTTTTTAATTTCATTTTTCTCTAAATTGATCTTTTTCAACATGTTTTTACTTTAAATCTTTGTCTTTAAAGGGCGACGAGCACTCCTTCAGGGAACTTTTGGCATTTTCTTCTTAAAGTTCATAACTTTCTTGTTGTGTGTAACTTTTATAATTTATGGTTTCACGAGTCGTTTCAAAGGTGAGCTGATAAACGTGCAGCTGAAATTCAGACCTCAGCTGGACTTGCTGTCCTCTGTTGGTGTCGCCCTCTTCTGGTCGACKGAGAGGTCACAACAAACATTCAGAACTGAAGACGTTAAAAACAATTTATCTTATAACATGTTTAATAATCTCATTTGTTTTGGGCAGTTTCCTTTACGGACGTGTGTTTCTTTGTTGTTTTTTGTTCTAGTTTGTGAAGTTTGCCAACATCGAGGAGGACACGCCYTCCTACCATCGTCGCTACGACTTCTTTGTGTCCCAGTTCAGCGCCATGTGCCACTCGACTCATGAAGATCCTGAGACCAGGAGCAGGTATGATCCAGACTGTTACTGTGCAGGGTTAAATAATGCAGGTTTTAGACAGTTTGTCCAGTTGTTTCATTCTCTCCTCCTTCTTACTGACTGTTGGCTCGCAGAGCTAACCGTTCCAGCAGGGACTCTCAGGGCTCCCTGTGGAGGTCCCAACCTGTTCCCAGACCAGAGGGGCTGTATAAGCCCTCCAGTCTGCCCCAGGAGTTTTCAACAGATGACTTGAATAACGCTTTAAGTTCTGCTGCCATCTTGTTGACCGTTAACTGATCTTGCCTGTTTTTTCTGCGTGGTTTTTGTCTGTATTTGAGTTATTCCGAGCTTTTATTGTGGTGGGACCTGAGGACATGTTTCCTTCTATCGTCTGCAAACGTCAACTGAGTTTTACCACCTAACGTGTCGCCTCTGTGTCTGTCTTAGTTCAGTGTTCCTGCGGATCCTTAAAAAGTCTTGAAAGGCATTGAATTTATTGATCCAAAAATAAGGCCTTAATTAGCCTTAAAATGTCTTAAACCAATCTTTAAGAGGGCTTAAAAATGCTAAAACATGGTAGGATGATTGTAATTCGTCTCAAATATTAAAATAACTGGTAACATTTTTTAAAATAATTTACAGATTGCCTCTCTCAGCTCATTGTTTTGTTTTAAAATAAACGTTTGGCTAAAATTGTTGCTGGGTTTTTTACATTTGTGCTTCTTGTGAAGTCAATCTAAATTTTCATTTCATTAAGTCTTAAAAAGTCTTAAATTTTACTTGCCTTTAGCTGTAGGAACCCTGTAGTTTCTGTTTCTGTCATGCTTATTAGCATTCATGCTAACCGTATTCTAGGTCTTTTCTTCCAGTTCTCTGTGACTTTGCTCATCTTCCTCGTTTTCCTACATAACTCCTTGATTTAATTTGATTTATCGTGTACTTATTGATGTCGATGATCAAAGGATGCATCGTTCAGCTCTACTCACGACCTTAGATGCTGAGGGGTCACCAGTTCACCGCTCTGATACCCCAGATCCAGAGAGCGTTCAGTCCTTTAGGTCGAGAGCCGTGACCTCGGACTCGGACCACCACCATGAACGATGAAGGTCATGGCTTAAAAACACCAACAGAACCACATCATCTGCATAAAACGAGACTCTGAGGTTCCCAAACCAGATCCTCTCCATGAAAACCACAAACATGATCAGAGATGAGTAACAAATAAAGTTACATAGGTTACTTTTAATAATAAAACCTGTTTGTTGTTCCAATATAAGAGCAAAACTAATCTGCATGTGACTTTAAAACCAAGGTGGTTGTGGACGAAATGATGAATAGTTTAATTTGGCCCGAGGCTCCCCGGAGCAGCTGTTAATGCAGCTCACATTTATGTGGAGACAGAATGCTGATTATTTCCCTTTATGAGGTGAAATTGGGCATTAGTCTGAGAAATCAGCTGCTCTAGTCTGAGCCATGTCCTTGGATGGAAATAAAAACTGATTTTCTGATTGATTTTTTTCACATTTCACTTATGAACACTGAGGTCTAAACTGGCCTTAATATCTGCATTTGTGGASTTATTTTTGGAAACTCTTTAAAGGATTTCTCATCGGCTGCAACACTCAGAGGGGGTAGAAGTAACGCAATCCCCACCAGAGCAGCTCTCATCCCACAGATATCCATTAAAAACAGATATAAATACATCTCCCCCGATCCATTTTTCATAACGTCTCCCTTCCATGGAGGCCCCGTGGCTCAGGAGTGCTTTGCTGCTCCTCCTGAAGTGAAACATGAGCTCTGTAAACGATGAAATGTGGCTTTAGAAAAGCTGGGTGTGTCTGCTGTGAAGARCTTGAAGTGAGACTGTTGTAGAAATTTTGGACCCAATAAACCGGTTTCAGCTGGTCTCACMTTTGAGTCCTGGATCCTTTGGTCTACAGAGGAGTTCATGATCCACTCASTGACTGCAAGGAGCCCAAACCATCAGACACATAAAACCCTAGAACTAAAGGAAGGTAGATTGTACAGTGGTTTGCAAAAGTATTCATACCCCTTGAACTTTTCCATATTTTGTCACATTACAACCACAAACATAAATATATTTCACTGGAATTTAATGTGAAAGACCAACACAAAGTGGTATACAATTGTGAAGTGGAAGCAAAATTTTACATGAATCAAAACATTTTTTACAAATAAAAAACTGATAAGTGCGATGTGCAAAATTATTCAGCCCCCCTGAGTCAATACTTTGTGGAGCCACCTTTTGCTGCAATTACAGCTGCAAGTCTTTTAGGGTATGTCTCCACCAGCTTTGCACATCTAGTRACTGCAATTCTTGCCCATTCCTCCTTGCAAAACAGCTCAAGCTCAGTCAGATTGGATGGAGAGCRTTTGTGAACAGCAGTTTTGAGATCTTGCCACAAATTCTCAATTGGGTTTAGGTCTGGACTTTGACTGGGCCATTCTAACACATGAATATTCTTTTTTTAAAACCACTCCATTGTAGCTTTGGCTTTATGTTTAGGGTCGTTGTCCTGCTGGAAGGTGAACCTCCGCCCCAGTCTCAAATCTTTTGCTGACTCCAACAGGTTTTCTTCCAAGATTGCCCTGTATTTGGCTCCATCCATCTTCCCATCAACTTTGACCAACTTCCCGGTCCCTGCTGAAGAGAAGCACCCCCAGAGCATGATGCTGCCACCACCATATTTGACAGTGGGGATGGTGTTTTCAGAGTGATGTGCAGTGTTCTTTCTCCGCCACACATAGCGTTTTGCATTGTGGCCAAAAAGTTCAATTTTGGTCTCGTCTGACCAAAGCACCTTCTTCCACATGTTTGCTGTGTCCTCAACATGGCTTCTGGCAAACTGCAAACGGGACTTATGGTTTTCTTTGCCACTCTTCCATAAARACCACATTTGTGTAGTGCACGACTAATTGTTGTCCTGTGGACAGTTTCCCCCACCTGAGCTGTGGCTCTCTGCATTTCATCCAGAGTCACCATGGGCCTCTTGGCTGCCTCTCTGATCAGTGATCTCCTTGTTCGGCCTGTAAGTTTAGGTGGACGGCCTTGTCTTGGCAGGTTTACTGTGGTGCCATACTCTTTCCATTTCCGGATGATGGATTGAACAGTGCTCCGTGAGATGTTCAAAGCTTGGGAAATCTTTTTATAACCTAAGCCTGCTTTAAACTTCTCCAAAACCATATTCCTAACCTGTCTGGTGTGTTCTTTGGACTTCATGATGCTGTTTGCTCCCCAATATTCTCTTAACCAACATCTGAGGCCGTCACGGAGCAGCTGTATTTGTACTGAGATTAGATTACACACAGGTGGACCCTTTTGAGTCATTAGCAGTCATCAGGCAACTTCTGAATGCAATTGGTTGCACTCAGGGAAAAGGGGGCTGAATACTTTTGCACGTCGCACTTTTCAGTTTTTTATTTGTAAAAAATGTTTTGATTCATGTAAAATTTTGCTTCCACTTCACAATTGTATACCACTTTGTGTTGGTCTTTCACATTAAATTCCAGTGAAATATATTTATGTTTGTGGTTGTAATGTGACAAAATATGGAAAAGTTCAAGGGGTATGAATACTTTTGCAAACCACTGTATCTATTAAAAACAGATTTACATTCAGTTTGAGATGAAGCTCCTTCAGTATCTCCAGATTAATAACTTCCTGACATGTCATAGATCATCAGAGATCCTGAGTATACACTGTCCAAGTATGTGTGGTCTTATGAGAAAATGTTTTCCTGGAGAAATAAATAAAGCCGGGGCTAATCTGAGAACGAGGGGGGAAAAAAACACCATTCACAAATGATTAGTCATGCACAACAATCTTTAGAGACAAGGGACGAGTATTTAGAGTAGCAGGCCCAGAGGATTATAGCCTGAGGAGAGTTACGAGCCTGTTGGTAGGTGGAAAACATTCAAACAAACCTCATATGTTTTCTAGAGAAACACTAATCCTTAAACAAAAAAACCAAGCAGAGTCTGTGTGAAGGAGTGGAAACAAAGCTATTATTTTGGGCCACAATAGGTTCTGAACATGTGCAAGCAGCACATTTTTTACTGATTGTTTGTTCCCAGATTTGCCGCAGTTGACACATTTTTCCCCTCTCTGAGTCATAACTCTGTCAAATTGAAACACATTATAGATTCTCACATTGTTAGTCTCCTGCTGCTGCATTAATCTGAGGAGATTTGTCCTGCAGGCAGAAACTAAACACTGAAAGCATGCCTCACTTCACCATTAATGAAAACTCCTCCACAACAACAGTCTTTTAGTTTCAAAAGTCAAAGTGGGAAGTAAAATACATTAATTTTAAAATTATTCACACTGAATAGCACTGCTGTGACAATAAAAATCATCAGTGGCATGAAAAGTCTTTGCAGGGTCTTGTTGGGATCTTTGCCAGGTCTGTAGGATCTTTGCAGGGTCTTGGCAAGGTCTTCTTGGGGTCTTTGCAGGTCTTTGGAAGATCTTTGCAGGGTCTTTTTTTAGGTTGTTGGCAGGGTCTTGGTGGGATCTTTGCCAGGTCTGTAGGATCTTTGCAGGGTCTTGGCAAGGTCTTTACATGATCTTGTTGGGGTCTTTGCAGGTCTTTGGAAGATCCTTGCAGGGTCTTTTTTTTAGGTTGTTGGCAGGGTCTTGGTGGGGTATTTGCAAGATCTTGGCAGAGTATTTGTGTGGCATATGCATGGTCTTTGCAGGATCTTGGTGTATTTGCAGGKTCTTTGTAGGGTATTTGTTAGGTGTATGGAGGTTCTTTGAAGGGTCTTTTGAAAATCTTTTCATGATCTTCATGGGGTCCTTGAAGGGTCTTTGKGGGATCTTTACAGGGTAATTTTTATGTTGTTTGCAGGGTATTGGCAAAGTCTTTACATGATCTTTTTGGGGTCTTTGCTAGGTCTTGATGGGGTCTTTGCGAGATCTTGGCAAGATTTTTTTAGGTATTTGCAGGGTCTTTGTGTGTTTGCAGGGTCTTGTGAGGTCTTTGCGGGGTCTTGGTGGGGTATTTGCAGGGTTTTTGGAGGATCTTTACGGGGTCAATTTTAGGTTGTTTGCAGGGTCTTGGCAAAGTCTTTACATGATATTTTTGGGGTCTTTGCTAGGTCTTGGTGGGGTCTTTGCAAGGTCTTTGGAGGATCTTGACTGGGTCTTGGCAGGATCTTTTTTAGGTATTTGCAGGATCTTGGTGTGCTTGCAGGGTCCTTTTTAGATTGTTTGCAAGAACTTGGTGGGGTCTTTGCAAGGTCTATGGAGATTCTTTGAAGGGTCTTTTGAAGATCTTTACATGGCCTTCATGGGGTCCTTGAATGGTCTTTGGAGAATATTTGAAGGATCTTGGTGGAGTATTTGCAGGGTCTTTGGAGAATCTTTGCAGGGAAAATGCGTGGTCTTTGGAGGATCTTTACATGGTCTTCATGGGTTCCTTGAAAGGTCTTTGGAGAGTATTTGAAGGGTTTTGGTAGGGTATTTTCAGGGTCTTTTGAAGATCTGTACATGGTCATGTTTATATTTTTGTAGGGTCTTGGTGGGGTCTTTGCAATGTATTTGAAAGTTCTTTGAATAATCTTTTTGGGGGTCTTTGCATGGTTTTGACATTGTCTTCAGAGAGCAGTGTGGGCTCTTTGGACATAGCCAGATCCCAACAGAGGCCTCTCCAGTTGTTGATAATTTGAAGCCAGAATGGCCTCAGCTAAAGTAAAGAACCACATCAGGCTCTGTGGTCCTTCACTGGCCTTTTGGACACAGAGCAGGTGTTCTCATTGCAGTCCAGCCTGGTGGACAAGGAAAGAAACCTTCCACTGAAACTTATGAAGGTCTACACAACGTACAAAGAAAACAAGGTCATAGAATCAATCTTGAGGGAATCTGATCTTCTCTCGCGTAACTGCAACCTGCAATAATGTGTTTATGTGGCGCACAGTAATTTATCTATATTATTTTCCCAGTATTTATGTATTTATTTAAACAAGACACGGCTCCCTCACCCATCAGTCCTGTTTCTAACCAGGTATTGATCCTTTGATTTAGTTGTTTTCTCTCTGTGAGAAGGTCTGATAAAGATGAGCTGCATATAAAAACATCAGAAGCCTTTTTTTATTTATTCATTGAGGAGAAATAGACCCTCTGAAGGCATAAAGCTAACGTTATTATCAGAAMCTTGACTGCAGCAGCTGAGGCCTCCTTCAGTGTTGGTGAGTTTTATCTCTGTTTGTATGAATGTGTGTGATATGGGGGGGTTGGAGCCAGGGGATGCTGGATTATTTTTGAGTTATCTCTTCATCCCTCGCAGCCGCTCCGCCGTAAACACTGTGACTCTTTGCTCTGCTTTCCTTCTTTCTGTTTTTCATTATTCCACTCAGCAGCGACTCGCTGGAGGTGGACAGGAAATCTCAAATAGAATTTCCCTGGCGGTGATCGGATCAAGTCCTGGGTCACCCGCCCGGCCTTTTGTCTTATTGCTCGGAGAGTTCTGAGGCCTCGCCCAGACTCCTGTGAGACCAGGTCGGCTCTGTGGACTCTGAGCTCCCTGATAGACCCGAGAGTTTCTGGGGGAGTCTGTCACTTTGTGTTTGTGAAGCAAAGTTTTAAAACTGATTCTTATAAATTTATTTACTGATTCTGGTGTCTCTTTGGTCCACAGAGGAGACCAGAAGTTGCTCCTTAAGAGTCCAAACCAGCATCAACAGTTTGTGAAGATCTGAACCTTTTTCTGTTTTGGTTTTAGGATCCGAGTGGCTGGGATTAAAGGTCTGCAGGGCGTGGTGAGGAAGACTGTGAACGACGAGCTGCAGGCCATCATCTGGGAGCCTCAGCACATGGACAAACTCATCCCCTCCATGCTGTTCAACATGCAGGACAGCGAGGACCTGGACAGGTACTGAACCAATGTGGATAATTAATTCTAGTTTTTTTTTATCTGAGTTTCTTCACCTTTTGCTCCGTTTATTAAATTTGGACTCACCTGAGCAACCCCTGCCCCTCCTCTTCCTCGTGTTCCTCTTTACCACCTTTTTTCCAAAAATGTCTTCATCACTCTCATTTAGACGCCTCACCTTTTCTTCCTCCCTGTCACTTCCTCTTCATCTCATCAGAGCCGTTTCCATGTGAACAAAAGCTATTTTTGGATCCTCTGTTGTGCTTCTGCTCACAAAATCCTCACAAGTGGAGAAAACTCTTCCTCCTCAGGAGAAGTGGAGTTTAGAGACGAGGTTTTTAACTTCAGACACTCAGGCTAGAAATGACCTTTGGGTCTGGATTTTACTGCAGAAAACCACCAAGTTTGGAAAGAAAAACGTCCAAAAACTGGAGAAATTTACATTTTCTGTGAAAAATCGTCAGAACGATGAAGGAACTTAAACTGAATTGTCAGCTAAAACAAGCGGAACAAGAAAAACAGAAGCTAAAACCAAAAGAACAGAAGCTAAGACAAACAAAACAGATGTTAAAGCAAGCAAAACAAGCTAAAACTAGCTAAACCAAAGCTAAAACAAACTTAAATAAAAAAAATCAAGCTATAGCAAGCAAAACAGATGTTAAAGCAAGCTAAAACCATCAAAACAAGCAGAACAGAAGCTAATTTTAGCAAAACAGCAGCTGAAGCAAGGAAACAAAATCTAAACTAGCAAAATGGAAGCTAAAGCTAGCAAAACTGAAGTTAAAACAATCAAAACCAAAAGCTAAAACAATCATAATAAAAGCTAAAACTAGCAGAACGTTGTTCTAACCTCAAAGATAAACCCACTAACTTGACTGAGTTATTRAAACTGCAGCAGAGCTTTTATTGTGGCGAGGATCTGTTCCAACAAAGTTGTGTGGGTTTGAAGCTAAATGTTTCCAGGCTGTTTTAATTTAACTTTAAATCTGAAAAATCTGCGTGTTTAATGATGATGATCCAGTTTTCTGCCCACTCAGAGGCAGGGGTCCATCTTTCAAGAAGCTCCTCGTCTCTGCAGCTTCCTGAGGAACAAAATGTCCGCCAGCAGAGTTTGTGTTGGTGACTCAGCACAGATGACCGTGTTGTGTCTGTGTCTGAAGGAGACGTGTTTTTAACTGGAATAAAGCTGTTTCAAGTTACGTCTGACCCCCGGCTGCAGGGGGACCTCRTTGTTTTATATATTAAACAGGTGATTCATTTTATAAAAACTGAAAATAAGCTCAGCACCRTCAGTTTTCCTTTTTATCATCAGGTTTCCCCTCATTTTAGAGTCTTTACTCTTTCCTGAAACATTTTATTCAGCAGGTAAAACAAACGTTTTTTTTCTCCTGCCCACTTAATTAAACCGAAACAATCCACCTTCAATTACAGCAGGGGTTTTCATTTTTGTCTATCATTTCCACACCTCTAACAAGCAATAAGCATTTAATTTCCCCCGCACCGCCTGTGTGGGCTGACAGTAATTGCATTGTTTCCCTCCTGAGACTCTGCTGCCTGCGGTCCATCTGTGACCGGGCTTATTGTCGGGGAACTCATTTACTGCAACATTGTTTTATCAGAACCGTAAAGAAAAGGAGGTCGGTTCGGTCAGGAGGGAGGACGCTCGCCGTCTCCGCAGGGAGTGAGAGAAAAACTTGGACAAAGTTTTACAGCGAGTCACGTGAACGGAGCAGCAAGGTTGTTGTAGTTCAGGTTGTTTGTTGGACCCTGAACGCATCATATTTCTGTGTGTTGTACCTCAGACTGTTAGTTGGACCCTGAACGCATCACAGTTATATGTGTTGTTGTAGCTCAGGTTGTTTGTTGGACCCTGAACGCATCACAGTTATATGTGTTGTTGTAGCTCAGGTTGTTAGTTGGACCCTGAACGCATCACAGTTATACTGTATGTGTTGTTGTAGCTCAGGTTGTTAGTTGGACCCTGAACGCATCACAGTTATATGTGTTGTTGTAGCTCAGGTTGTTAGTTGGACCCTGAACGCATCATATTTCTGTGTGTTGTTGTAGTTCAGGTTGTTTGTTGGACCCTGAGCACATCACAGTTATATGTGTTGTTGTAGCTCAGGTTGTTAGTTGGACCCTGAACGCATCATATTTCTGTGTGTTGTTGTAGTTGGGGTCATTTGTTGGACCCTGAATGCATCACAGTTATATGTGTTGTTG